CCCAACCCCACCCCACCCCGGACCCCTCATAGCCCCCCCTTCCGATAGTCTGGCAAATCTGATAATCTGGCACCTCCTGGGTCCTAAAGGTGCCCGATTATCAGAAGTTTACTGTACTACTCTGCATGTTTGTTCAGGCTCTGCAAGAGGTGATACACTAATTTAAGCAACAAGGAGTCCTGTGGCACCTTACAGACTAACAGATTTATTGGAGCATAAGCTTTCATAGGCAAAGACCCACTTCATCCGGGTCTTTGCCCACAAAAGCTTATGCTCCAATAAATCTGTTAGTCTGAATCTGCAAAAGCAGCGAAGAGTCCTGTGGCACTAACACGGCTACCTCTCTGATACTTGAAACTAATTTAATTATCAGCAAAACTAAAAAACTGAACTTGCCATAGGCACGGCTTGGGCAAAAAAGAAAGGGAGAGGAAAAGAAGGCCTGAGCACTTTTTGCATTGCTCTGACGCCATTCCAAGATCTCTTTAAATCTCAGTAGAGAAATTCAAAACAACACACACACACACACACACACACACACACACACACACACACACACACACACACACCCCCACCACCACCCAGTTCTTCACTACATTTAAAGAGTGATGTATCACAAAACCACACACAAGTCAGCCAACATAAAAAGAAATCAAGTTAGTGTCCCTTCAAAAAGCAACGTCATTGGAAGTTCTTAACTGTAAATCTTACATTATCCACTAGAACTAAACTACGTTGGAATGTAAGAAATATATCTACCACCACCTTAACTGATGAAACACACACATTAAAGCCCTTCTAGAAGAAAATTCATAGGTACATGAAAGATTTAATTTGAAGCTGATCACTTTACAGAGAATCAATAAGTGTTGAATTTATGCAACTAAATATTTTCCTTTGCTATCGACTTATCTGAAAGATTTCAGAATAAACCAAATTTTTAAAGTTAAAAATAGAGGCAAAAGAATCTTTATAATGGAAGATGGTCGAGATCTTGTCACTAAAAGGAGATGCTACCACCCTTCCATAAAACATGGACTTCTGAACTTTTAATAATTTACATGGTACTCCAAGAATTCATAGTGCACTTGCAGAAATTACTTTAAAAAAACCTCAAACAACTAGCAAAGAACTAAACCCATCCTGCTACTAATGCAGTCAACCCATAGATAAGAGATATATCACCTAGCTATGGTGACAGACAACAGTACAGCCAGATACACCTGCAGCAATGCAACTCACCAAAATAATCAGAAGGCGCCAGTCTGCCCACTTCAACAAATTCTTCATTTTCTGATCGCCGCTGTAACACTGCAGCTGTGCCCTTTAATAAATCAGTTAATAGAAAAAGGAGTTTGCCAGAATCATTTGAAACATCTTAACTGACAAGAACTCAGCCTTATTGCCACGCGTCATACAGGAAGTGTCTTATCCATTAAAAAGCTCATGACACTTCACAATGACGACACTGGCCTTTCATATTAAAGCAATAATTCTCTTGGTCTCTCCTTTAAGTCCCCTTAGGATAGTACTCGCATGCATCGTAGAATTCCTACCATCTTCTGTGTTACTTTAGAGGCATCTTTGAACGTGATTAGTAGGAAACACTCAAGAGACAAACGGTTTGTAACTGGTTCCATTACAAGCCATCTATTCTATTATTCTGTATTCAGAAAAAATAGGGAAATAGCGCAGGTCTGAGAGGATGCTACGTCCCTACAGTATGATATTATGAATGATCAAGAAAAACCTTTTTTAAAAAATAGGTCATTAGAAATACTGTAGTTTATTATGAAACTAGCAAGGCAGTTTCTGGAGAGCTTTGCTTTTCTAGAGACATACTATAGCACATACCAGAATACCAAGTTATTTTCAGGTATAGGACAAGAATAGTTTATTACACCCACCAAGAGAGGATATCTAGGGTTTCCAATTCTCTTGGCTAATAGGTATTGAGTAGGTTGATTTATGGACTACCATAAATACCAGCTACCTCACCCTCTTGGAAGTGTCATTTATAAAAACACCAAAGTAAGCTTACACACATCTTGCTTAGGCACACAAAAGTTTTAGTCAGGTAATTTCCCTCAGTGTTTTACACAGACACAAGGAGAATAAAATTCCTAGAACTGGATGTTCAGTTGTGTAATTCCACCAGAAGTAACAGTCACGTACCTCTAAGATAATAAAGAACTCATCTCCTGGTTCTCCCTGCACCACAATTTTCTCTCCATCCTCAAATTGTACCGGTTCTAAGGCATCAGCTACAGTGAGACGCTCCCACTTGTCCAGAGATTCTAAACAAAATCAGTCAATGTATTTAGTTTGCTTCATGTAATATCTGGTTCCCACTTTCAAAAGTTACTCTCTGCTAATTCACATTTGTAAAAAAATCAAAACCTTAATTATAACCTCCTCAGGATATGGTTACATTAGAGAATTTACAGCAGCTTTCTAGTATAGCTACTAAAGAGAGATTACCCTTCAATTTAAATAATCCTCACACTCCCCATGAAAGGGGGCAGGTATGTAGGCAGAAGCAGCTCTCAAAGGCCATGTCTACACTAGGAAACTATTTTGACTAAATTCGACTTAACTCTGAATCTTACAAAATCGAAATATCATGTCCCCCACTATGGGGAAAACCTCAACATTAGTCCTACACAGGCTCCTTTAATGTGGACTCAGTACCCCAATTTAAAAGGCCCAGGAAGCACTGGGGAGCAATCATTTTGAAATAGTGGCACCGGAGCGTCCACACGACCGATATTTTGAAATAACTATTTTGAAATTAGCATTATTCCCCGAGAAAAGCAGAAGTACAGATTTAAAAATAAGTGGCCCCTTATTTTGAAATAACGGGCTTGGTTGTGCGGATGATTCGCTTATAAATTTGACCTCGGGGGGGGGGGGGGGGGGGGGATTTCAAAATAAAGCCCTCGAGTAGATCAGGGCCATGCGACATAGCACTGTCCACACTGGCGCTTGGGCTGGTGTAACTTATGTAGCTCAGGTGGTGGGGGCAGGTGGAATGGCTCATTTATACTCCTGAGCAATATTAAGTTACATCGACATAAGTGGTATATAGACATCGCCTTCGAACTGTGCAGAAAAGCAGCATACATCATGCAACTGGTTTTAACAGATTACCAAGTAGAGCAAGTTAGTTGGGTATCCACCTCATCAAAATCTGCCATTAGATCTAAGTTTAAGGTGTAATCTTCTCACTTACCCAATATAGATACTTTACTAAGGAATTCTTCATACATCTTTCTCTTTCTTAATGTACTACCCTGTAAAAAAAAAAAAAAATGCAGACCAACACCAAGATTTTATTTTCTGCTCACATTGTGATAATTTTGAAGAAAAAGTTAAAGACAGATCTCAAAAGGTCACGCAATTCAACAAGACTTAATGTCTTCTGTTTTAATGGCCCAAACTTGCACAGTGACAGTGCCTTCAAATCTCATTCACATCAGTGAGTTGTGATAATGCTCGGCACCTCTCAGAAGACATTCAAGCAAAGACTTGCACACTATATTGTCCCTAAATACTTTAGAAAAAAAATCTACTACTAGAACACTTTATCGAAGTGCATTACATTTGCCCATATCCATTATGATGAATGCTTTACATAATTTACAGCCCAGTACTGCAGCCCTTACTCATGCTGGAGTCTAAGGGCTACCTGGCATGAATAAGGATTGCAGAATCAATCTCATGTTTATTCTAGGTTGCATGGTTGACTTCAGCTGCTCATGACTGGATAAGCCTGCCACTTCGCTGGTCTGTGTTAAGCTACAGAGCAGGAGAATCAAAGTCCAATAAGAGCAATTACAGGGTTACAGCAGATTGCTTACATCTGAACACTGCATTTGTAATTTTAGATTGTCCTGCAAGGCCAAGATCACTCATACTATTTCCCTCCTCTTCTTGCTAGACACACAAAATGGGTGTGAATGGCAGCATGGTTACAAGTCATGAGCTTTTTTTTTTTAATCCAAGGTAATAATCAGGTACAGGACAGACAGAAGGCCTAGTGACCACAACAGACATTTGTGTTTAGGAAATATGCTACCTTGAATCAACTGCACAACCCAGACATTCAAAACAAGAAAAAAAAAACTTGCCATAAGGATTCTTCTGTAGCTGTCTCTGTCAATACCCCATAATTTCACATTTGTCTTTGCTTTCACAGTTGCTGCTCTGGGAGTTCCATAAATCAGGGCAAGTTCTCCAAAGCTGCCACCTTCACCAACGCTGGTCGCCCACTCGTTGTTCACATATACCTGAAAGGAAATACCCAATGTTTGCCCTTATTGACCAATCAGCTGAAAGACCATTTAAAAGGTTCCTCTTGTTCACTATGTGTATTACATAGGGAAGCACTCCAGTTTAAATAATCTCACAAGTTTCAGAGTTGGTTTAATCAGAAATGTGGCATCTCCAGTTGTATTATCATCCAGCGTACAACGGATGTCAATGAGATTTCAAACATATTGGGGAAAGGACTGTGTGTATGTACTATCATAATAATCCTTTACAGGTATATTCCATCTAAGGACTGTGAACCTAGCCTTAGAATCTCATAGAACTGTGAAGTATTCACCCAATTTTACAGCTGGAGAATAGGAGAAAAGGTCACAAGATGTTACAGCAAAAATTGGAATAAAGCCCAGGTCTGTCTTTACTAGTCCTGTGCCTCACCACAGCAATGCACTCCAGGGGTAGTCAATAGATGGACTGCAGGCCAGACATTTTTGAATGGGCTGTAAAAGTCTTTTATTTACTTATTGTTTTCTCTGGAGTCTGGACTTTGACCATACTTTGGCCAAAAAAGTTGGACCTTTATTTTTTTATTTATATATTTTTGATCTATATATATAAAAACCATTGATTACCCTAGATATATTCCCTCTCCCTTTGTTTCTGTGCTCCTAGAGCAGGAAACATTTTGTCAACATTCCAAAATGTTCGTTTGCAGTGGCACAATACAGGATGTGTTCATATTGTGCACAGCTGGGCAGTCACATCCACAGAGCTGCTCAAAAGGAGCTAGGAGAGTAACAAGCAAAACGAGGTTCCTTGAATGTCCTAAAAGAATGGATTGCACAGTTCTGCCAGAGAATTTTTTGGTTTCCACATAAAGGCCTCAAGATGTTACTAGCATTTCTACAAGGGGTAGATACGTTGCCAGTTAATATAATTAAAATCTCAGCCATTATTAAAGCTTACATCCATTTCTCCTTGATCGACAACGTAGAAGTTATCGCCTTCGTCACCTAAAATTAAAAAATATATAGAATAAAATTCAGTTGTAAGAAGACAAGCTGTAGAGTGATTCATGTTTCATCAAAATGATAGAGGAATATTAAAAAAGCACTTTAGGGATTATATTAACCTTTAGTATCAGGCCTGTCAGAAGATGCCTCAATGGGACTAAAAAAATAAAAAATGCATTGCTTATTTTATGCTGGAAAAGTGTCACCACAGGCATATTTCCTCGTCCTACCCGTGAAAGGGACACCTGCTGTTGTGAAAGAGAACAGCAGCATTACCTCTCTCCAGTAAATTAACCCAGCATGCTCGACAGAACTATCAAGACACTTTTCAAGTCAGACTCCCAGCAGCTGCTCCACTCCTCTTTCCCCCACAACATACATTATGGCTCATAAAAAGGCAAGGTCTATTGAATGCAAGTGTTCATACAGCCATAAAGGCAGAACAAAACCCATAGATTAAGAATCTTCTCACAACCTACAAATTGTTTAGTTATTAATGTAAACAGCATCAATTACCTTGCTGTATCACAGCCTCACCAGCAATGTAGGTGACTGGGAACATTGCATCAAAGATGTCACTGAAAGAGATATTGCAAAGTTACCAACAGTTTGGTTGCCTGTTATATGTACATGTGTACAGGTTGAACCTTTAGTTCCGCATTCTCCGGTCCAGCATGATTTTAGTCGCCAGATGTCCACTTATCATGGGCATGGCCAAGTTTCCTGCGGTCCCCTAGAGTTTGTTTATAGCCCAGCAAGCAGTGGAATTGCTGGTAATGCTGCTAGACAATATTGACCTCCCGTGGTTTGGCAAATTCTCTGGTTTAGCACTCGTCGGGTCTGGAGGGTGCCAGACTCAAGAGGTTCAACCTCTCCCAACATTTGAGAGAGATTCTGCAGGACCTCTCCAATCAACAATGTGGGGTGACTGACTGGCCCCCAAGACTATTCCATTTTGCATGTTATAATTTGTTTCAAATGTGTGTTCCATAAAAACACTAAAAGCTTAAAAAAAAAACAGTGAAAACACTGCTAGCAAAGCAGAGCTACATTCACAGATTTGTTCCTACCTTCTTTCATTATCATCAAGATGGGCAAATAGCACATTCTTCTCAATGGCTTTAGCCAAAGCAGCCATAGTCTTGTAATCTTTAGGAATAACCTAGAGCACAATCAAAAGCAAAGCAACTCTAATTATAAAAGTTGAAAGGGGGGGGGGGGGGAGAGAGAAATCCCTATACAACTCAATGCTGAAGTCTGCAGTTTCCCTCTCAGCCACCACCAAACTGTTTTGACCTGGGTTGCTCAAAACAAATAGAAATATACTCATAAAAAAAACCAAGAAAGCTACTCCACCATAATGGTGCAATGAACTGAAATTCTGCCAGACATAAGAAACGAGATGAAACGTCTCTGAAGATTTTATGGGGCCAGACAAAGGAACAGGACATGCTTTGTCCAGAAGTGGGAATGGCACAAGTGAAACCAAAACCTTATAACCATACATCACAGGCTCCAACCCAGAATAAACACCACGAATGGCTCAGCAGGATTGCTTTATCTATCTATACCTCTCTCATAGAACTGGGAGGGACCTTGAGAGGTCATCAAGTCCAGTCCCCTGCCCTCATGGCAGGAACAAGTACCATCCCTGACAAGATTTGCCCCAGATCTCTAAATGGCCCCCTAAATAATTGAACTCTCAACCCTGGGTTTAGCAGGCCAATGCTCAAACCACTGAGCTATCCCTCCCCCCCATGGGATGTCTACTCTACTGCATGGGTGTCTACTCCACGGGTGCTCTGAGGCTGGAGCACCCAAAGGGGGAAAAAAAGTGAGTGCTTAGTACCCACCAGCAGTCAGCTCCCTCCTTCCCCCCCTCCAGGGCCTCCCGTTCACCAGAGACCCATTACAATTAGCTGTTTTGCAGCACGTGGGAGGCTCTGGGAACAGCATGCACTAAGGAGACTGGAGGAGGGCCATGACA